TTGTTTTCAGCTTCTTTTCATGTTAACATTCTGAATAATTTCTGAAGGGTTTCAGAAAAAACATGATTTATTGCACTTCCCTGGAAGTGCCAGGAATCGTCCCCTGGTGCTAGGGTGGGTCACATTGTCAAAAAACTTGCCTAGTTAGTGGGTTGTAGTTTGAGTCATTAACAATTCAATCTGGGTGGGTTCCACCTACTCCAAGTAAGTGAGTTACAGTTCACAAAAATCCAACACCATGTGCATGATCTTGAATAGTATGTTTTATTTCTTCACCTTTTTTTTTGTTATAATAATTCTTTCTCTCCACCCTGGTTAATTTTTTTTTACCCTTGATTTTTCATGTTGATATTGAAGATTTCATTTTTATTTTGGATTTGTTTTTCTATTTTTTAAGGATACAAGTCAATTTGTTTTCAATATGGTTGCACATAATCATGCATGAATCCAGAGGTGCCTCATTGCTTTCCCAAGGCACCTCACCTACCATACAGTCATCATTATCTTTTTCTTTCTCACCTCAATCATTCACTCTAGAACCACCCCTGCTGCACAAAATTTTCTCTCCTCCTCTTCTTTTTGCTCCTTTCTTTATTTGTATTTTCTTTTCTGTTTTATTTCATCATCAAACAAGAAACACATAGGTTTATCCACCTAGACATCCTTGAAGCCTCTTCCTAAAAAAATCTGGACTTCTTGAAATGATGATTCCCTCTGTTGATCTGTCCAGAGAAGGCAAGTGTATCACAGCTGCTCCAGTCCTCTGTTAAACAGGGCTTGGAATTTAAAGCTATACTCTTGTCTGAGCACTGTCTGAGTCTCAAAAGAATATGTTGGAATTTAATTTTAAGATTCTTACTCATCCCTAAACCTATCCATCCCTTTACTTTTCTCTTAAACCGCTCATCATTATAAAAACATAAAAGTAGTGTGATCTGTATGATCTGATGCAACAGTCTTGTAGTATTCAAAACCTGAACGAGAGCCTGGTCATCAATTTTGACTCCAGTAAGTTGTTTCTTGCTGTCTGATTCTTTGTCAACTGATTATTAAGAATTAACGACTGTTGATATTTGTGCTGTGTAGTGCCTTTCTTATTAAACCTAAAATTGATCTGACTTCATTCCCCCCAAACATCAGTTGTCTATTTATTCATTATTGTTTCTGACTGAACCACAATGCTTCACTTGTCTCTTTAGTTTATTTATGTTATCCTACTTCAAGTAACAAACTGCATCAGTTCTTCACCCTCTTTATCCGCAATTAGTTCTGATCCAGTTAGATGAACTCCCATCTCACTGTCCTCATTCAATAATCTCTTGAGCCAATCACTCTCTGTTTTAAAAAAATATATATAAATAAATAAAAAAGAATCTCTCCCTTTTTTGTTCTTCTTTTACTTGTCTTGTTAATTATAGTTGTCCACCATGATAAAGAAATACAACGATATTGGTCAATCCAACTGGAAACTATATTGTTCAAACCAACTGGAGTCCTTTTAAAATTCTAGGAAGCAGTATTTTGAATATTTCTGAATGAATGCAGGTGAGAATATGATGATGATGAATATTTTTTTTACCTTGACTTTCTGGTGGTGTAAAATCTCTTACAGAGGGATTACATCCAATAATTTTTGAAGTGGAAAAGGGGATTCAGAATCTTTGCAAGAAAGTTTCCGGAAGTTTTAAGGGCAGGATGGGAAAGGATTTCCAGAGGAGAGAGCCGGAAGGAAGGAAGGGTAGGGAGGTGTTGTAGATATGGGGCACGGATGGTCCGGGATTATTATGGTTTGAGTATGCCTTGAATGATGCTTGTTAACTGCACATAGCTGGTGGTTGATTGTATCCTTCTCCAATCACGCAGACTTATCCGTCCTAAAACGACTATATACTTACCCGGCGCTGAATCTACCATTCCCTCTTACGCGCCCGGCTAGCTCAGTTGGTAGAGCATTCGACTCTTACGGAGTTCTTCGAGGGCATAGTCATCGAATTGTCGTGGGTTCGAGCCCCACGTTGGGCGTAACCTTTTTTCTCTCCCTTCTTCTGCACAAAACGAAGAGCCCTCCCTCCTCCCTCCTCCATAGCTTGAGAAGATGGACAAGAGATGTCTCATATGACCAACACAACAACAGCTCTTCATGAACAGGCCAGGATATCTTGCCAAAAAAAAAAGATCAGTCTCTCTCTTAAGAGTACATATCTTAATACCACTCTAGTGGTTATCTTATTACTCCAAGAAAAAAAAAAACCCCCAAAAAAAAGAAAAAACAAGTTCGATGGCCAACGCGATCAGCGACACACGATCAAGTTTTTTTTTTTTTTTTGATAAACTCAACATGTGTTGTATAGTACCTAGAGAGATCCTTTGAAATAAAAGCAAGGCGCCAAGGGACCCACTCGACCCTCTCGCACATTTCAACAAAAAAAAGTCAACTCGAGCGTGTGTGTGTGGCTTTGGCGATGACTTCACTCCACACGAGAGACATAGCCGTCACGCCACGAACCCATACACATACACTCGAAAAAAAAAATTAAGAGAACGAGAATAAGAGCGTTTTCATTGGTTGGAGAAGGACGAGGGGGGAGTGGTCGTTTTTAACTATATCTATTTACACCGTTCAAAGTATGTAAGAGTATATGGAAATTAACATGAACAACTTTTACAAAAGGAGATCGAAAAAAAAAAGTGTCTCAAGACTTGAAAAGAAAAGAAAGGCAAGACCAAGAAAACGGATGTCTAAATGAAGACTTGACAAAGCCAGACAATTTGGACAAGAGAGATGTGATGGTGATGATGATGATGACAAGGAAGAAAGCCCAATTAGAGAGGAGAAGCGAATCAAATACATATACTTTTAACGACAACTATTGGCTTTTTGTGTTTTGTTAATTACCAAGCGGCCCTCCAGAGCGAGCCGGGGTCGACGAAGCCTGAGCTGTTGTGATTATTGTCGTCGTTCTGCTGGAAATTAGTTTTAGAGGAACCGGAGAGGTCGCTCTGGATCTGCTTATGGACAAAGCAGAGATAATCGACACTGAAGTAGAGATATCAAGCCACAAATTCAACATCTCAACAAGAGGCTCCAGAGACCACACCAGCGAGAAAATGAACAAAAAAGAAAAAACTTACTAGGACATCGCGTCGTTGTTTTGATCTTCGACCAACAGATTGGCAAACTCGAACTCGGTCGAATCTAGCGATTGTCGTGATACCAGTAGCGGTAAGGAACGGTCTCCCCTCTTCATGTCAAAGAACTTCAACAATCGCCGCACTTTGGTCGATAGTGGTGTCTTGAGTTTCGGCAATCTGGCTGAGAAGAGCTTCGGGTCCAGCGCCTCTAGACTGCTAACTCCGAACAATCCTTCTAACACTGCAACAGAAACTGCAGAGCCGATCCACATGATCATCATATCTCCATTCTCTACGTGCGTTAGATCAATTTTTGTGAAGGAGAGAGAGTAAGCAAATTAACCTCACTACTTTTTTTTTTTTTTGGAAAATTAAAGCTTCTACACACCGATTAGATAAACCCCGTCGGCTTCCATCCTCACGTAACTGGCTCTCATCAATGGAGGAAGTATGAACTTGTTGTTTTTGGGATTGAATTCACAGACTTCTGGCATCTCGGCAAGTTTATGGATGGGAATCATTCGCGGGTAGAGCATCAGGATAGTTTGAGCGACGCCTAGAGATTTCAGATATCTCATGTAATGGGTTCGGACATCCGAAGAGACATTGCCTCCTTTCACAGCCTTGGTTTTCATCAAGCCGAGGGCATATAGCGGAAATAGTTTGTACGATTCCGGCAGGATCAGTTGGCCAGGTGAGGTGGAGGATGCACAGTGCTTTCGATATGCCAGCAAGATCTTGACACAAGTCTCCGTCAATGTTACTCGAACGTCTCGTAATGGCACTTGAACAATCTGGGCAATATCTATCCGATCCCGCAATCCAGACGACATGTGAATCCAAGGAGAAAAATAAATAAATAAAATTTGATAATCAAGGAGAGCGCGGACATACATTGTTTAGTCAATAAGGCCATGGTAGCATCCATATCAGCCGACCGGAAGATGTTGCCGATTACTCTGGTCACAGGCAAAGTGAGATTGTGACATCTGACCCTCCGTTGTCCAGTTGACGAAGTGTATAGAAGGGCACATTGGAATTGAGCCTCAGTGGAAGAGTGATCCTCTAGTTTGCCTTCGATCTTGAGGATTGCAGCTATCGCTTTATCCGCATCCAAATTTCCAAACTCCAGATCGGTGACGTTTCGTTGCAAGAAGGATCCGAAATGTTGGGAAATTCGCAGTCCTTGATTTTTAATTTAATTCGTTTATTTGTGTAGCCCACCCCAGCAAAAGATAAATCAAAAATGAACACATTAGTAAGTACAGCGGCCGATCAAGAGAGATTGTATCCGATCAATCTACCATTTGAGCACCTGATCCTCATCGTGACACTTGATGCAGTTTCTCTAGTCAAGACTCTACGCAGTTCAGAGTCCACTTTGAAACAATCCCTCTGGGGGTTAAACCTGGGGTGAAAGAAAACCTCGCCACCGGTGATACTGGATAATACACCTACGAGCTCACCAGAATAAGAAAAATAAAATAAAAAAGAAGCTAGTCAGGTTCATCACCTAAAAATCAGCCAAAAAAAAAGAAACTACTGACTGATCGTCGCAACATCGATGTATTGAGACGGGAAGAGAAACATGTTAATCCCGATTCCAGCCAAGGAGCACTCCTCTGCAATTTGTCGATACCAAGGATCAACTGGATTGAATAAGGTGGTCTCCTTTTCGGTATTATAAAGCTTCGTATCTTCTCTTTGCTTTAATCCACCAGGTCCAATGGTCGGTAGACAGGTTAAAAAGATGTTAACCTGTCCTCCTAACCGTTTCTAAAACGACCAACATAGAAATCAGACGATATCGCAGCACTAGACGTTGCGGAAAGAGAGGACCTACTAGACTAGAGAATGCAGCTTGAACTGGACCGCCGAGGGCAGATTCCATGATATTATTCTCTCCAAACATGGTGGGCAGACTGTCGAGCAAATTATGGATCATGGCCGGGGATTCTGCGGGGTTGACGTAAAGGGCATCTTCGCTGATGGGGACGAACATGTCGTCCAAATCGGGGACGACGAGCATCTGGGCTTGGTCCAAGCCAGCCTTCAAGTTGTAAAAGTGGACGGTACGATCGAAGGTGACGAAGCCAACCTGCGCGCCGACGGGGAACTGGCGATAAGGCTTGAGACTTTGTGAGGGGAACTCGAGGTCATCATCTACTTCTTGCTCTTGAGGGTTTTGGTTAAAGAGGATTGATTTGATAGATTTTGTGATCTGTTGCAACATGCCGCTCTTGTTGGCAGACCAGCTCACGTCGATTGCAAATAGGTATTTCATTGGTTGAGGGATACGGGCATTCAGTTTGGAATCCGATGAGTCGGATTGGACCCAGTAATCTTGATTGACGATGAAGTCCACCGAGCCTCTGCATAGTTCGGGACGTTGGTAATGATCGACCCTCCGACCGGACATATCGAGGTGACAGAAGTAGTCAGGAGGCACTATGAAAAAGGATGAGAATCATCAGTTGGGTCTCTCAGTTTTTTAAAAAAAAAGAAAAGAAAACTCAACTGACCATCACTTGGTTTACCACATAGGTTACATCTGAAGCGATTACCACCATCGGTGAAGGTGCACCATGGATTGATGTACCCTCTACAGCTACTACAGCGTGGAGGGCCGGTTGGATCTTGACTGAAATCAACGATCGGGACTATATCGCCTTCCCCCTGAGCGAGTTCGGCCAAAGGTTGGATGAGCAAGCCTATGGGTAGTTCGGCGGCTTGAGCAATGTCATCCATTGCGGGTAGACAGTAGGTGGTAGCCCTGACGAATCTCGGAGAACAGTTGCCTTGATCGATGGCAACGTAATCGGTTAGACTGAGTGGAATTTGAGGAGGTGGAGATGGTTGGTTATTGGGGCCAAAGGGATGAGTATTTGAGGCGGCATAGACGGATTGACAGGTGCGGAAGGGTTCCTCGGAGAAAGCTTCAGCATCTTGCTCGTGGACGATGACGGGGGAGGGAATCTGATTTGGATCGATGCGATTGCGTGGTCCGGTTGAGCGTTGTTGTTGTTGCTGTTGTTGTTGCTGTTGGAAGAGAGGTTGGATCGAGTTTGGTTGGTTATGTTGTGGTTGGTCGATTGGTGGCCCTGGAGGGACTACTGGCATTGGCTGATGATGATATCTCTGTAGATGCTCTGGTCGATCGGGTCGATGACGAAAGGGTAGATTATTATTCAAGTCCGGACGAGGAGGCATGGGTGAGTTGAGTCCGGTTGCGAGGGAGGGCTGAGTTTCTTGGTGAAAAGCACGGGCAGGTCTCTTTGATTTTGGTGCATGTTGTTGTTGTTGTTGCTGCTGCTATATTGAGACAATAAGTCAGAGATGGTTGGTGTAGTTGAGAGTGAAGATGAAATACTGACGTTAGTGAGAGAGATGCTTGATAGGCCATGTGCGAGTGAGTTGTCGATTGGGTTGCTGTTTTGATTTTGATTCTGCTGTTGACTGTAGTGCTGCTGTTGGCTGTAGTGCTGCTGTTGGCTGTTGACCATCTTCCTGGTGGTGTGGTTGCTGGTTAATTTCCCGATGACGTGGTCAACTCCAGCCTCACTCTACCCTTTCTTCATGTTAGCACCCGCTAATTATAAAATACCAACCCGCACACTCAATTTTCATGCAAAAAGCTATTAATTTATTCATTACAGGAAAGCTATCATCCTTAACTTAATCCCAAAATTTGAGCTAGGTGTAGCAACTAGGTACACTTCATGTTGATCCAAGAACCTGAGGAATAAAATAAGAAATCAAAAACAGGGGGAATTGACTTGAGGAAACTGGCTGAAGCCAATATCCTACTTATATGTAAATATATTATTTTATCTCCTTTAATACTGTGAAATCCTGTAATAGTATTTCAGAAATGGATTTCTCATGTAATT